GAATTCTTGTTCTTCATGCGAAAGTTCTCATCATGCAATCCTGTGGGATGCCGGCCTGAACAAGTTTTACAAGAACATCTCTGGATACATCCACGCGACTATGTCCAGAACCGTAACAAGCGTAACACAATCCTCTTAGCTATCCAAGCTCTTCAGATAACGATTTCTTCAAGTACACCTTACACTCGTCTAAGTCGTGCAAGTCGTTGCAAGCGATGCATGAATTGGGCGATTCTTCTTTAATCATTGTTGCGTTACTTGTAAACTTCGAAGTCGATCCTCTCTTGAATTTACTCTTGTCATCTTGACCAATCTTGTCTAGTGCTTGTCTTGAGAAGATCGGATCGGTCGCTATCTTTGCTTCTGTTTTGACAAAACTGACAAAGTGTTTAAAAGCAAGGTTTTTGCCTTTTTCTCTAAGCTTCGTTACTTCTCTACGCCAACGTTCTTGTTGATAAAAGGTAAGTTTCTTCATCAAACATTGCAAGTTATTTGGGTGGTCCAAAGTCACGAGATATGATAAAGATTCCATGGCACTCGGGCATTGTGTCAAAAAGATCGCTAATTTTTCCAAGGCGTTGTCGTCTCCCGGTCTTAAGATGGGCCAATCGTTCACTTTCTTCACGTATGCATTTGACACCTTATATGGGTCCCCATACTTCTCATTCAATAACTTCATTGCTTCAACGTAGCCTGCATCAGGTTCCATATAATGACATCCTTTTATAAGGTCTTTAGGTTCTCCATCCAGATATTGTTGTAGATATTGCATGCGGGCTCCACTTGATTTGACGTTTCTTTCAACTCGCATCCCGAATGTACGTATAAAAAGGTGATACTCTGTTGGATCGCCTTTGAAACTGGACAAGGAAAGTGAGCGCAAGAAATTCTGTTGATGTTGTTCAGAGAACATTTCTGTCAGTCGATTCTGTTTTTCCAGTAAGTATATTAAGGGGTCGTTATCCAAAGTAACTCTGTTTCTGTAGTCACTTGGTGGTGGTTTCCACTCATGTGCATAGTCTGTAAAAGGTTGTTGAGCTGTCAGACGAGGTGATGGGGGTGGTGTCTTTGGTATGCGATGACGAGTATTGTGGCAATCTAACTGGAGTTTGATGGGCTCTTCTTGAATGAAACGCGGAGACAGGAGTTGGTTGGGGAATGTTCGTTGAAGAAAACTGCGGAGTGGGTATATTCTTCGTTAATTGATCGTGTAATAAGTTCTCTTTCGGCACCGGACGAGTATCCTCTAGATATTCATTCATCCCATCGGTTGTAGCTTCCCGCTTTGACTCAATGTCGTTTTCAATAAAGGCTTGTTCTCGAGCTTGAGCAATAGCAAGCTCTTCTTGTAATCGTAATTTTTCCGACTCATTCTCAAGTGCTTGTTTTTTCTCTAACAACTCGGCGACCTTTGCCCTTTCTCTAGCTCTGCCCGACCTACTCGAATGTCTTGAACCGGCCGATCGACGAGACTCGATTGAGGACTTCAAGGCGCTTGACTTGTCATCCATTTGTTCTTCTATTTTGTATTTAGCCACGGCAATCCAATCGACTATTTTGACTTTACAATTATTCATTATTCGAAAATGTTCGTTATACCAATCAGTCACCGGAACGAGCTCTTGTCCCGATAATAAATCACGCCACGCTTCATAAGCTGCTTGAAATTCAACCAGTTGTTGACTGAATACTTCTAAATCGTTTTGAACTTCGTGCACGTTGTCCCAATCGGTTATGGAGCCTTCTATCGTCTTCATTATTTTGGTTATTCGCTTCTGTATGGATTTACAATGTTGTTTCTTCCTCTCGATTGTCTGTTTGTTTTTTGAACCGTCTATTTACATGAACGCTAATATCATTATTTTCAAGCGGCGTTAACTCCAGATCTAAATTCAATTCAATTCAAAAGTCTTTTTAATAGATCAAAAGATAAAAATACATATCTTATGTTACAAATATATATTAAGAATACATTAGTAATAAATCCATGTCGCTTAGTTCGCTTACTAAGCTATCAGCTTTCGTTGACATATTTCAGGTTTGAAACGTTTCTGTACTAATGTTGATGCGAATCTGCGATACAGTATGTGGCCCAGTTTCGGGTCATTTCAGGTTTGAACTGCTATATCTTCCTTTTCAGGAAAGGTACGATTTTTAAATGCTCACTTGAGAATAGGAAAGGTGTTTCTTAACAATTTTTCAAAAGATTGACTTTTCTTACCTTTCACTTTTAGAATTATTTATATTTTTAAGAATCATTTTAGGTGCCCAGTATCGGGTCAACTGCACCAGTATCGGGTCACTTCAAGTTTCTTTGTTTATTGTATAAAAGCGTTTGTTTTACGGCAATTTTCGATCATTTTGTATAGTTTCAACATGTCTTAAGTTGTTAACAATTTTTTTGTGAGGTTTTGACAAGGTTTAGACATGATATTTCCAGCTTGAAACTACCTCTTCAACACAGTTTTTGCGGAGTGCGTTCTAAGCAGTGCTTCCACTTTCAAAGGTTGAAACATAGTTGACCCGAAACTGGGCCACAAAGCCAAACTAAAACGTAATTTGTGGGACCAGAATATATCTCTGAAATTCTGAATAACTGAATTGCCATTTCATATTTATATATTCTCGGCAACAATCTATCGTTAGCACAACATTGGGCAGTTACATGGAGAATTACATATCAATAATACGATTTATTGTTATTAGTTAGTTTTACTGCGCAGTGAAATGAACAAATTTTAGTAAAAGAATATAAACATACCCGGACAAAAGGGATTCTTCTTTGAATACAGTTAACTAAAAAGCCTGCGAAAACTATCATCCAAAAAAGGAAAGGTTCACCATTATATCTATATATTTCATTTCGCGTCGCTTTTTATCTCGGCGGAAAAAAATGAAATCAAATTTCTATTGACCCGCTACTGGTACTGACCCGAAACTGGGCCACATACTGTATACTCGCTCGACACCGGCAGGGATGAACCAAATTAAACAACACTTTGTACTCGTTTATATTATACTTATTACCGTTATACGTTAACCGTTTGCAACATAGTACGGTACAAAAACGTTGTAACTAACTATAGTACAAGATCGGTAGAATTAGAAAGCTAAGTAGTTAGTTCAATGTACGTTAATCACTAATGAAGTTCTCGTCTAGACGACCTTGCTGTTAAGTATTAGCGGTTTGTTATATATGAATATATTACATGATTATACAGGGTGTCTCAAAAAAAACCCAAAATCATTGAAATTGACGTATTGTTCGATATTCAATGCCCTAGCACTAAGTTAATCCCACGAGTGCATAAAAGATTGACATAACTGCTATAATGAATGGTAATACTCAGCGTAAACTTGTTATGTCGGGCATAAAGTACTAAACCCACGAATGCATATTACGCATATTACAATTTACGAAGCATTTTTAAATTCCCATGAGCAAACAAACGTTCACTTTACAAAGATATTTTAATTTTTTAAAACAAATTAATCACCCTGTCAAAATCCTTTGTGTTACGGCATTGAAATTCGAACAAACGTTATTTCAATGATTTTGGGGTTTTTTGAGACACCCTGTACAGGACACAAACAAGTTAGAATTGAAAGGCTAATATGCAAATAGCTATCCTAAATTTGAATAAGTATCTACAGGGTGTCTCAAAAAAACCCAAAATCATTGAAATAACGTATTGTTCGAATTTCAATGCCGTAACACAAAGGATTTTGACAGGGTGATTAATTTGTTTTAAAAAATTAAAATATCTTTGTAAAGTGAACGTTTGTTTGCTCATGGGAATTTAAAAATGCTTCGTAAATTGTAATATGCGTAATATGCGTAATATGCATTCGTGGGTTTAGTACTTTATGCCTGACATAACAAGTTCACGCTGAGTATTACCATTCATTATAGCAGTTATGTCAATCTTTTATGCACTCGTGGGATTAACTTAGTGCTAGGGCATTGAATATCGAACAATACGTCAATTTCAATGATTTTGGGTTTTTTTGAGACACCCTGTATAACTATCTTAAATTAAACATAAACATAAACATAAACAATAAGCTACAGTATATATTTTTGGCACTAACAAGCTAGGTATTTAGTGCGAAATAAGGCTGAATTGGTTCTTAACTAACTGCATGGTTCTTATTTCTAGTCTAAAACAATTGTTTCCCTGATTAGTATAGGTAATAGCATGGTTTCGAGTGCAATTTGGATATAACATGCACGAGTGAGTTTTTCAAAGACCTCAAAATAGCACGAATCCGAAGGACGAGTGCTATTTGAGGTCTTTGAAAAACTCACGAGTGCATGTTTATCCAAATTTCACGAGAATTCGGAGAAACCATGTCCATGCTATTACTTATTAATAATTTACATAAAAATGTTCGAGACAATTACGGTTTAAAGTTTTCCCGGCTTTGTTATATCACATTATACAACGCTAACAGCTTGAAAATTCCACTCAACTAGGTATGTTTTTTTAGTCATTTTTAAGGTAAAGGCTTTTCCATTTTTTAAAAAAGATAAAAGCCATATTTTCCAACCGAAATCAACTTTTACTTTATGTAGCGCGGCACCATGTTTGTTTTGTTTTGAAGCAATCTGTGCCCGTTAAGCTACGGATACACGGGCAATACTGTTCTGGCGATGGCGATGCAATGGTGGTAAAATCGTTGCATTGCCGTCGCGAGAAGGAAATTGCTTGTGTATCATGCTCTGCGACGGCAACGCACAAAGCTGCGCGCAATCGTTGCCGAAATTTCAAATCATTTCATTTTGGGCAATGATTGCCGAAAATTGGGAGGTGTGGTCAAGGAAGGTCAAGGTTGATGAATGACACGTTTCTTGACCAGCCAATGAAAAGCGTTATGAAGATATATATTGCAGGTGAAATATTGCAGGTGTGGCTGGCCACCTTGTGCGACGGCAACGCAATGCTGTTATCACCCATTGCGTAACCATCGCAGCAAAAATATTGCTCATTTGCTCGTGTATCCGAAGCTTTACTTCTTTAAACTAAACTGCTTTAAACTGATTGGTTATTTTATCATCATGTTGTTTTTCCACTAATCAGATCAGTTTGTTACACTGTGATTACAAAAAATTGCACTGTGATTACAGAAAATTGCACTGTGATTACAGAAAATTTTACTGCTGTTTGGGATTAACTGCACTGAAATCAACCAATCACAGTCGAGTAATATTTTGATGTATATTATTAGTGATGTTACATATGACACGTCTAGAAATATATATTACATGTCTAATAATTGCTATTTAAACGTCTCCGAATTTGATAAAATGTACTTATTGTTTGTAAGACAATATATTGATAATTTATATATGTGTGCTGTGGCAGTGGCTCGCCAAAATCAGAAACCGCAATGTAATGCTTGTTAACTGTATAATATTGTAGCCTATATTAGTATTTTTGCACAAGTGAACATAACAAATCCTACACGTTGATTGGTCAAATTTGACGTAATAAGCTGTTATATTCACCTACAGGTGAATATAACAAAACAGAAATTTTCAAAATGGCGGCTACCCGTTTTGTGGAAGTTTACTGACAAAGAAATAAGCGAAATTAAAACAAATTCAGTCTCAAAAAACACAAAAGCTTGTGTAAAAATACTAAAACAATTATTCGCCTCAGGCTCGGTGATTATCGGGGAATATTCACCTCGACTTCCTCTCGGCGAATATTGCCCGATAATCACCTCGTCTTCGGCGAATAATTGTTAAATATTCCTTGTTATTCGATCTAAACACAAAACAACATGCAGGAAAAATACATTACATATACTGTGACAATACAGTTTAAATAACACATAATATAAATCTTTCTTACTTCTTTGGCCTTCTTCAAGCTCTACACTAGCAAAACATGATTGTAAAATATAAACCTTATCCTAATACTGTATATATAAACGTCAAAACTACCTCTCATGTTCGTTTCCAGCTCTTTTTTGTCACGTGAGTGTTCATAAAGCTGCGTAATCAACTAAACAGCCAGTAAGCAACAAAGTTCAAATTATTTATGATTTCAAACAAATGAATATATATTTTCATATTTTAGATCGAAATGTGCAATCGTAAAAAGGAAATGTTACCTAATGGTTGGGCCGTGGATTCAGATGGAAAGGTGAAATATTGTCAATTAACTGAACGAATGTATGTGATTTAAACGTCACCAAATGAGGTTTTTTTATCCTTTTCTGTTGTGGCGTCAGGAAACTAACGATGGTGTGAAAGCTATGGATGGTGGACTCATGCCTCTTGGTGGCGGGGAGATCACAAGTAAAAACATTTAATCTTCCTACGCCCAGACCTTGAAAAAATCTTCCTCAGATCCTCAATTTTCCCTTCTTAAATATTCCCCGAAAGTGCGTAAAAACATTTAGTACATTTGGCAGTATGCGCCATTACATGTATGGCAACTACAGTATAGAAAACATTGTTGACTGTGTATTATACAATCATGTCATTTGTTGTATTTTGAGTAACAAGATTTCAAACTTGAAAATGAGTGTCTTCGGAGTCTGGGATCCCTAACAAATCTTGTTTTTTGGTTTGTAGGTGGTTATAAAGGTTATGGTTTGGGTTTTATGGTTGAACTATTTTGTGGTATAATGTCTGGAAGTGCATTTGGTCCACACGTACGAAGTTGGAACAAAAGTGACGTTGTTGCTGATTTGGTATGATAACATGCATTCATCACAGATTTATATTTGAAAGACAAATCTTTATTCTTTACGACTTTACCTGGCATGCTACAGTACAGGCAAACTTGAACATTTTCCGTATTCGTTTTCAGGGTCAGTGTTTTGTTGCTGTAGATCCAAGTGTTTTTGCGTCAGGATTTGAAGATCGTTTAAGTTCTTTAATGAACTATTGTCGTACCTTAGATCCGGTAAGATTGTGTGAACATCTATTAATCACTAGTTGCTAACCAGCATGCAGTTGCCTCCTTAACAATTTTGTGGCAAATTTTGCAATATTTGTGCAAGTGGATGGTATAACAACCTGAGATTGCGAGGAATAACTCTGGGTTGTTTGCGCGGCAAGCTAATATAACTACTGGTGTTAGTATATTAAAATTTCATGTGATAGGATGTATACATAGTGCAGTCAAAATACAAGAAACTTTCCACTTCCGCAATTTGTTCTCATTGACAGCAGATTTTTCTGTTTTACTAAATTATGAAATCTTCTTTGTTTTGAATGATAATTTATAACAAAGGATGCATTTTTCGTTACAGCATGTTAAGGTATAAAGGCTGAGAAATTTAAACTTTACCGACGTATTTGCCTGTAATTCTGTAACCGCTATGTGCAGACGTGTCTGTACATATAACAAACATCAGTACTTACAGTCGTCAAATTATAAGAGCTTTCCCACTTCAGCTTCTGTTATTTGTTCTGTATTTAGAAGAAACAAGAAACCCCCAGGGTACAGCAACATATCTTTTGTATGCGTTAATTAGTTTGTAAATTTCACTGTACTCACGTGACTGATCTAGGCTGCTGATGAATCTGAGGTACTAGTTGCTGGTGATCCTGAGAGAAAACACATATCTGAGGTTGAAAAAGATGGTGGGATACATTATCATATTAATTTAGTTGGTTCTTTGGTATGTATACAAAATCAAAGTCAATATGGTGGATTTATAAGGGCATGCACGCATGAGAAAAAGTAGGAATCAAATATGCATTTTATATCTATTATTTTGATGAAAGTGATCCTCATTTACGTTGCATGCAGTCAGTTAGGGAGCCATGGAGCAACGCTGCCTTCATAATCTAAGAGACTGACGCTTCAAAACTTCAAACTGTTAGACTTAGTTGAATTAGAAATTGTGCATGCCAACTCCAAAAAGGATATGGACATGGGCGTACCGGGCGGGGGGGGCAGCCCCCCCAGTTTGTTAGGCAAACAAAGCCAGTCGGGCAATATTCGCTTCACAATCAGGCAATATTGGGAAATATGCTATTTAATAGGAATTTTTCGTAATCACTCCCCGCCCCGCCGACAACAATTTTGGAAAGTTTTTCCGGAAAATTTTTTTTGACAACTTGGGCACAATCCCAAAAAGTCGGGCAAATTTCTTTCCGCCCCCCTAATTTTTTCCTTCCCGTACGCCCATGGATATGGAAGTAATGGAGCTATCTATTCCTATACACATAAATACAATTTGCAGGCATACAATACGCTTCTGCATGAACCAATGCATGCAACCATAGTAATTTCTTAGTGCCATGCACGCATGCATATAATCCTACACGCTTTCTTGTTTTAATAGGATTCATTGGCGGACAAGTTACTAGTGGACCGTATGAAATGTTTGTAGGATACAGATAATAATTGAAGATTTATCAGTTTTATTAATACATTTTAGATAATTATTTTTATATAATGAATTGATTTAATTCTAGATTTTACCGAACAGATAATATAGAAATACAATCTTGAGGTAGTGTAGGTAGTGGCAATAAGTAAGAAAGCTTCAGAGTGATAGGGATACAACTATCTGAAAAATACAAAGTAGAAAAATATGCGTTCGTAAAGTTCTTATACCGGCCACTTAAAAAACACTTTTTAACTCGTGGCTACATGGCTACGCGGCTATATGACTACCTGACTATGCGGCTTACGCGGCTATATGACTACTTGACTATGTGGCTACGATGGCGACAACGTGGCTACATGGCTACGCGGCTATATGTGACTATAGAGACCTTACGATTTTAGGACGGCAACGCGACGGCAACAGCTACCAATACAATAGATCATTGAAAAGAATTGAGTAATTACAACATATGAATTTTAGACATTGTCCTCGCTCTGTTTACAACGCTAAATCACAGATTCTCACGTCTTGATACAACGGCTGCATTCCAAGCCACGACAAGTGCAACTTCAAACTGGGTTTAGCAGAACTCTTCCCAACCTTAAAACCCATGTTGACATACCGATATACATCGGTATACTCGGCCTTATACTCCGCGCACGATTACGAAAAAAATATGCTCCCTGAACTGTAGCCGCCATGTTGCCAAATAAATACAAGCACGTGATCACAGCATGAAATCTGATTGGTTATACTTAAAATTCCACAGAAAAAAATTCGTATAATATCAAAACGTTTTGATGTTGTCCAATTAAAATCGAGCAACAAAAATCGGTTAAAAATGACACCGCACACACAACGATTTTGTTAGTTTTAGTCAAACGATTTTTACCGGCCGACTAAAATCGCATCGTGTGCGCCAGGCTTAAAATCGCAAGGTCTCTTATGTGGCTACGGTGGCGACAACGTGGCTACGTAGATACATGGCTGCCGGACTACGTGGCTACTGATTTCGTGGCTACGTACGGTGTTTCAGTGTTAAAGAAACAAAAAATTGATCGATTCCCTGGCCCACACCCACCTCCCTCTCTAACTTTCAGTATTAGTAGCCTGTAGCCATGCATATACTGAGTTCAATTTTTTGTGGCCTGGTATTCGAAAGTTGTACCGGAAGTTGTATCGCTATCAATCCGAAGCTTTCTCAACATAAAATTAAAACAATTGTGCAAATTTTTAACACATTTATACTGCTATATGAAAAAATATTACAAATATAATGATACATACACTATAGTGTGAATGATACTATAGAAAAATATGCGTTCGTTTACTAAACGGCGTTACTCCGATAGATTATAGTTCATTTTATTATATAGCTGCAAGAATAAGTCAAATATTTTATGATAATTATGCAATTTACTTGTCCAAAGTGCATGTTTGGGCAGTTTTATCAAGAACGTTTTACCCAGCTAAATTTGCGTGTTTAGCTTTCTCCTCTATGTAAAACTGTAATGTTGCTCTGACATGTTCACCCTGCCACATCACAGCTTTCTTGTAACTGAACGTTGCTTCACACCACTTATGATGGGGACCACAGGATGTTCGCACCATACTAGATGCACCATCAATGTTGCTTGCTTTAAACTGGACAACACAATCACTCACAGGAAAGAAAACAGTCATTTCTGGTTCAACTGAGCTAACTTTAACAAAGTGAAGTTTCTCTAAGCCATCAAGCCAACTGAAGCCTTTACTTGCAGCGTCTCCATATAGTTTTAATTCAGTCGAAGAAGAAATGTCAGCTCTGGTTGAAGTGTTGCTTACAACGTACTGCGGTCCTTCGTGAGTCATCCTGATCTCTCAGTCAAGAGTTGGTTAAATTGTCCTGGTTGGCCGACTATCAAAGGCGTAATGCTTCTCTCCTTACTAAGTCGAGTAAACAAATATAGTTCGAGCCTCGATCGAAATATCGAAGGTTGATTTAGTTTTACACGTTTCTTCATACACCAGAACTTGAATCTTGATCATGCATGCGAGGGACAATGCTGAAGAGGCTTGCCGAGCACACTATTCATGTATTTATAGGACTTTGCATAAATGCTAAACAATGATTGACTGGTTTTACAACAATTAAGCCGCTTAAATTGAACCTTCCGATCACTGGATCGTGACTGAATATATACATGTACAGGGTGTCCCAAAAATTCCTCTCTGTTGTTGGTTAATTACTATAACTTATAGTAATTAACGAACAACAGACAGGAGGACACCCTGTATATTGTCGTAATGCACAAGAGGTTACGTCAGGCTACCACTTATAGTGATCTTTGGAACGATGAACACCAACATTAAGGTTCTTGCCAATTGGGGAAAACACAATCATGCAGTAAGCAACAATACCGTTACCCTAGGGATAAGTGTTCCCATTGGGATGAGGGGACATGAATTGAAAAGAATGAAATATGCACGACAGTAGAGCGTTTCAGTGCACTCATTCCCCATGTTGGAGTTCCAGACGAGAGTTAATTAAAATTCTCTTGAATTGGAACACCAACATGGCGGCTGTGACGCCATATGCAAACGCTCTATAGTTGAAAAAGGAAGAAATATGTGATATGGCCAATACTTTTGAAGCAGTCGAACAATTTTCCGCCCGTCTCGCTTGCCATGCGCGGCCGTCCGTCATTACATCAACTATTCAACTGGTTTGCCGCAAACTTTGCCCAGGGACTTCATGAATCATGAATGTTCATATGAAAACTGTATAGTGAAAATATACTGTAGTATGGCAAATTCAATGAGACATAATGTTTCTTTTGTTGAAATACGACCGACATGGCCGCCATGTAGCGTCACTAACGTGCAAGTCGAGCTATTCAACCGGGATAAATCTTTTGAATTTTGCTGATTAATATTTCAACAGTATGTCATTCAGGATAATTGCTTCATCACTACTGGCCAGAAATGCATTGTCGTCACTCTCAAAAAAATGGTCATAATCATAAAGTAATCAAAATAGGGCACAGTTGTAGCATATATAATTATTCGCAACCAATCATTTATCGTACTTGTGACAGAAAGTAATGCTTTTCGTGTGGAACCGCCATCACAATAATATCGTTACTTTCTGAAAAAGAACTAACTTTCGTTTGGAGGGAGAGGCATACTCAGCATTGCTTTCAAACCTCGACTGACCTTCCTTAACAAAAAGGTTGATTCCAATATCATCTTTCCAAGTCAAGTATATAGACTTCTTGTCCTTGTTGTCCCGTATCATGCATGGGCTCAACTAGTCTATAGCAGTCGGCCCAAGCAATCTATATGTACAGTATCATTATACTCAATATAAATATGTACATGTGATGGTTTTATTTCAGATATTTCCCGGGCGTTTAAGCAGTAAATAGGGACAATAGGTGAATAAAATGCAAGCTAGTCCAAATATAACTGGGCCATTTCTACTCAAGGGCCATTTCTACGCTCTTGTATTATACTGTACACACACATTGCCATTGGGACAAAAACGCTTACATTCTAGCTTCTTACTTGAACTGCATTTATTCGCCATTTACTGAATTTATTTGCCTGTGAAATAGTTTATAAAACCATCACATAAACATCGATTAAATATGATGATCATATGGATTGTCTGGCCTGCCTGAGCTACTGCTAGATTGCGACTAGCCCCTACTATATTGTTTTGCTCTGTCTAACGCCAGATGATTTACTCAATCATCAAGGGGGGAGCGCTGGAACTCAATGCCAATGGGTTTAATCAGACTGTCTAGTTAACCCATTGAGTTCCATTTCATTGTGCCCTATACTTTATTATTTTACTTTGTCTAATACCAGCAGGTGATTTAACTTGTCAAAGGGAAAGCGCTGGCACTCTCCCCTTGGTTAATTCAGAAATGCATTCATTTGGTTAGCCGCGTCATAATTGGTAGTTCTTGGTGTGCAAGTTACGTATTGCCGCCTAAACTTTCGCAAAGTCCTTTTCAAAGACGTCATTTTTATTTCGGGCGGTTCCTCTTTAAAAATTTCCAGCCCCTGTTTCCCACCAAATTCACCGTGTGACGTCATTCGAAAAAAAGTAAAATCTATGTTTTGTGGTTCAGTATTTATACTACCATGTTGGATGAATTTTACAAAGTTTTTTTCCTGTATTTAATTCTAATTTCATCCAACATGGCAAGTTCTCTTTGTCTTTTGAGTGCTTTGAAAATGGTTGCACACCACCTAATATTAATTAAAGCCATACAAGCAACAGGAATTCAAAATTAAACTAAACAACACCTACTTGTCAAATAGATCTTTTGACCATTACTGTACCAAAGCTTTATTGGGTCATTCCAGAAAAGATCCATTTCCTCCCATGGCGGAAATATCTGCCATATGAAGGAGGGAAGAAAAATTTGTTTCTGATAACTTCCAATTTCTTCTGTGGAGGAGGTATATGGGTAATGGGTGTTTTCTGGAATGACCATTTGTGACATATATACAAACAACTATTTTTCATTGTTAATTGCCTAGGTACATCTAAGTTGTTTAGTTTTATCAGGGCTCACAGTTTGAAATGTTTAAGATTCTTAGCATGAATTCACAAAACGTAGGAATATTTTTCTATGTTCAGTATAATTGTCTGTCAACAAGGACTAAATGTCACGTAACAATGAAATCACTTTGAATTGGTCCATATGCTGCACCTTTATTGATGTTTCATACTGCGCCCATTGATTAAATAGATTTCCAGAAATCAGACTTGTTGCTGCCGAGCGTAGCGAGGCAGCACACTAATCTCTACACGTGGTGTGCTTACCACGTGACCGCCGAGTTTATAGCCGCTACAATCTCGATTTATGTCATTTTGTCATCCACGGACGGGCCAAAACTAGCTGTTTTGATATTATTTTTTGTTCCCGGGGGGTTTGTTCACAACATGGCGACTGTTATAAACGGACAGAAATATAAAAATCATAAAATAATGCGAATTTCCATAAAAATTCCGAGTAATATTTGTGAAGATGAATGGGTAAATAAAGCACGGTGTTATTTTGTGTCTCTGGCGCAAGAATGATCGACAATATTTGGAATAATTCAGGTAAGGATGGCTTTATTTCGTTCTCGTATAGTGATGTAGTCGTGCCGTGTGCCCTGTCTACCTGTCTGGTGATATATTTTATAATACATGAAGGCATTTATATTTAAATCTGCTGTTTATACTTATTTAGTCACTTTAGTGTATTAAACTTCGATATAGAGGCATTGAAACAATATGATTTCAAGAATATATCGGCAATTATAATACCCACTGAATCACTGATCTATTTCCGACCAAATCGACAGTAATGATTAATGCCTTTATGCTGATACAAGAAGCAAACGAACTTTTAGTTTATTTGTTTGTTATGTCACTTAATATGTGCAAAGTCAAAGGCGGTGAGTATATAATAGTGTTCGGTACGTTCTATTTCTAGATGTTTAAAAACAAACGGGAGATGTTGTTAAATCAGGCTTAACAAGATTCCTAGAGCTACCCAGTGTGGATTGTTGTCTGCATATATGGACTTATCAGCAATTACATGTAATATAGCATATCAACTGACTTTTGTATAAGATATGACTTGTATAAGACTGCCTCAGTTATATATAAAGCCTATAAACATGATTCTACTGATATACATTGATATATACATATGGCTGTGTTACCACAATAATGCTCACAACTTCAACTTCTTTCTAACAATATAGTTTTGCAGTTCTGACTGTTCTGATTATGATCTTATTCATTCAGAAATATAAGCATTCACTGTATTCAATGGCAAGCTATCCTGGATTCCAGAGCCTTCAGTTAATAATAAATTGAAATATCATGAAGGCTCTGGTTCAACGGGAGGATTCTTTGATTAAACTGTGCCAATCACAAAACAGAATTAGCAGTTTTAGTACAGATTTTGGGCGTGTTAACCCATTAAGCGCCAGCGCTCTCCCCTTGACGAGTAAAATTGTCTGGCGTTAGACAGAGTAAAATACTCTGGCGTTAGACAGAGTAAAATACTCTGGCGTTAGACAGAGTAAAATACTAAAGTAGGGTGCATCAGGGTGCAATGCGACCCAATGGGTTAACTAGACACATGGGCACAGAGTCTTAGCTAGGATTTTAGATCTTGGGCGTGTTTCTAATGACCAGGGCGTGCACATGTCAATTACCTTGAATAGCAAAATCACGGTTCTAGTTATGCTCGCCAACAATAATGCTTGTGGTTGTTCTATGCTTTGCAACCAAATACAAGGCGAGCATACGCTCATATTGCGCACTGACATTAAAATATTAAGTTATTTCAGCAACTCTTGGGGGTATTTAAAACCATTTTAACACCATACAGGTCCCATTATCCATCAAAATATTAAAACATCACGAATCACTTTTGCCAATTCAACAACAACAGTACCCTGGATTCCAGAGCCTTCAAAGTAAATAATAAATTGAAATGTCGCGAAGGCTCTGGTTCAACGGGGCGATTCTTTGATTAAACCGCGCCAATCACAAAACAGAATTAGTGGTTTTAGTACAGAATCACAAAACAGAATTAGTGGTTTTAGTACAGAATCCAGTTATTAGTGGTTTTAGTACAGAATCCAGAATTAGTGGTTTTAGTACAAAAGTAAGAAAGCCGAATGCCAAGCCAATACTCATTTCGACGTGGTATCGACCACCAAACTCCAATTCTGAGATTCTTGACTCTTTTGAAATCTTTCTTCAAAACATTGACACAGAAAATAAAGAAATTATAATAACTGGAGACTTTAATATAGATTTAATGCCCAGTGAGACCGAGAATAGTAAGGCAAAAAGGCTTAAAGAATTACTAAACACATATCAATTGTCTCAACTTATTAAAAAGCCTACTAGAACAACAGAATCAACGAAGACGCTCTTAGATTTAATAATTTGTAAAACTGACGACCCAAAAACCGCTACAACGGACGTTGTTGAGCTAGGTATAAGCGACCACAACCTAGTCTACACTTGTAGAAAGGTCGGAATATGTAAACAAAAACCCAAAATTATTGAAACAAGGCAATACCATAAACTAAATAACGCAAAATTCCAAAACGATTTAAAACAAGCTTTACTACATATTAATGAACATTCAGATCCAAATACGGCCCTACAGGAATGGAACAGAATTTTTCTACTGATAGCTGATATAAATGCTCCTATACGATTGAGAAAAGTGAGAAGTGACCGACAACCGTGGATGACTGATGAAATTAAAAAACTGAGCTTTCACAGCGACTACTTAAAAAAGAAAGCAGTCATGTTAAATTCCTCTGCCTTTCATAGTTCATACAAAAAATGTAAAAACAAAGTAACTAAACTTATTAGTAATGCAAAAACTCACTACTTTAGAACCAATCTCGAAAACAGCAAAAGTTGCAAAGAAAATTGGATTCACATAAACAAACTGCTAAACCACAAAACGGTCAAAACTCAGACGATTAATAACATTAAATTTGGAGACCAAAATATTACAGGTGATATCAACATAGCAAATACAATTAATAACTACTTTGTAGAAATTGGACCCAAACTTGCTTCCGTTATTTCTCCTACAGACATAGACCCTATACAACCTATTCAGCCTTGTAGATCTGAATTTAACTTAAGAACAATAACAACGACAGAATTAATTCAAACAATTGGGAAAACTAACTTAAACAAGGCCCCAGGTCTAGACAAAATACCAATTAAACTAATTAAACTAGCAGGAGATGCCATTCACGACTCCTTACTACATATCTTTAACCTTGTACTGGGCACTGGCATTTTCCCAGATGATTTAAAACTTGCTAAAATAATACCTATTCATAAAGAAGGTGACAAGGCGGAATGCGGAAACTACCGGCCTATATCTGTAATTCCTACTGTCGCCAAAATCCTTGAAAAGATTATATACGACCAATTAAGTTCATATATCAATGACAACGACATCATTTGTAAACAGCAATTTGGCTTTAGACCAAATCATTCTACAGAAACTGCCCTTTTAAAATGCACAGATCAATGGCTACTCAACATGGATAAAGGAATGGCAAATGGAGTGCTATTTTTGGATCTTAAAAAAGCGTTTGACACGGTTGATCATTCTATTCTCCTACAAAAGCTATACCAATACGGTATAAAGGGTACTCCTCTAAAATTACTAGCATCTTACTTAAACAACAGAAAACAAGTTTGTGTCATTAATAATAACAAGTCAGGCCAAGAAACAGTTCAATGTGGAGTACCACAGGGTTCCAATCTGGGACCATTGCTATTCTCATTGTACATAAATGATTTACCAATGTGCCTTGAGTATACACAAGCATCCATGTTTGCTGATGACACCAATCTATCATGCACAGGAAGGACCCCAGCCGAAATCGAGCACAAACTAAACGCTGACTTATCCAATGTTAACGACTGGTTAGAAGCAAATAGGTTGACATTGAATGCAGACAAAACAGAATTTATGATAATAGCCTCAAAAAGAAAACTTAATCAATTTCGCACTGATATTCGTATACATATAAACGGATCCATTATTAAACAAGTTAAGCAAAAAAAACCCTTAGGTATTACAATTGATAACGAACTAAGGTGGACTGAACACATTAATGAGCAATGCAAAAAACTTTCAAGTGCAATAGCTCTGCTTAAAAAGGCAAAACCACACGTACCTTACAACGACTTACTCCGTATTTACAATTCCCTGGTAGTTCCTTACTTTACATACTGTTCGACAGTTTGGAACGATGGAAACAAAACAAATTTGGAAAAACTTTATAAATTACAAAAGCGAGCCGCTTGTATAATTACTGGATTAAACTATGAAACAAGATCAAAAACAATCCTCCAGAGTCTAGGTTGGCATCCAATAGATAACATTCTTAAAAAAAGAGAATTTCTAATTACGTTTAAGGCTATCCGAGGTATAGCGCCGGAGTGCATCTGTAATATGTTCTCCTACTGTGATAATAGAAGTCACCACATGCGGAGCAACGGGCGGAAACTAACTCTCGATAAACCTAATAGATCATTTATGAAAAAGTCATTTTCATATCGAGGAGCTTCCGCCTGGAACTCATTACCTAACGAAATCTTAGACGTTCACGAACAGTTGACGATACATTCTTTTAAAACTAAGCTCAACAATCACCTACGTTGATAAAAAATCCACTTGTAAAGACTCCTAGTCAATTACACTATTTTGTAAATATTTATTTTGTACTTTCTTTTATGTAAACAACCCCTTTAAAAGCAGCGTAGGCTGAAGGGTTATTGTTTGTAAATAAGTTTTAATAATAATAATAATAATAAATTCAATTTTCTCCCGAAGAATTTTACGGTAATTACTGATTTTCAAACGAGTTGTGCTCCTGCGGGTTTTGACCAATTTTTCTCAAATTTTCACAGGACATAGCTAAAGACGTCAGTTTCAAAACTGTGTTCGGCTTTTTTTTAATTTTGGATATTTTAATAATAAAGAGCAATTCACTCAAACAATTCAGAAATATATTGCAGTCGTCAAAGAATTCGCCATATCAGCGGAATGACGAAATAAACAAAAAATTCCGAACACAGATTTTTAGAACAACTATTTTACTGTATAAAAATGATATTTTCATAAATATATCTTAAAACCAGCAGGAGCACAACTCAAAAGCGTAACGTTACCGCGATTTAAGATTTTCCTGAATAATTCTTATAATATTTTTTTTGTTTGTTAATTTTACAACTTTACCATATTTTGCATACACTGGTGAACATTTGGTGAAAATTTTATTCAAATCGGACTGATATTCAGCGCGCAGTAGCGATTTTCTGCAAAACGCCAAAAAGGGTGTCCTGTAACCTTAACCCGAAACCACCTCCTGACCATGAAATCGCGAATACTACTCCCACCACCCGGCGAGTTCCAACGAGCAGACCAACATCTAGTGAAAAGATGGGGACGAGTCCAGTATCTTGTCAACCAGTTTTGGTCGCATTGGCGTAAGGAGTTTCTTAACACTTTGCAAGAAAGGCAGAAGTAGAGCAACCCTCGTAGAAATATGCGCGTAGGCGACATTGTACTCATCAATTAAGGATGATAACGCTCCTCGAAACCTTTGGCGAAAGGCTCGCGTTGACGAAGTGTACACGGATGAAGATGGTGCGAAATGTTAAGCTTATTTTGACAGATCCTTTGTTGAACGAAAGCGGAAAAGGAAGTCGAGTTGCGACCATTTTGAAATGTCCTATTCAGAAGCTAGTTGTACTTCTTAAAGTCGAAGACACGGAGAACGTTGGAGAGTGAAGATTCCCCGACAAGGAACCAACTGTGAACTATTGAACATTATCGTCGTTGTCATTATATTCAGTTATGTTTGTGGTAAATTATCGTAATAGACAATTTAGGGGAGCCATGTAACTGCGAACCGTATAAGGGCATATTAGTGCTCAGCCCCCCGCAAAAACCAATACGTTTTAATATACCAATTTGAACTTATGCGAACTTTTGCGAACTGTAGCTTACACGAAGGATTTATCTTAGTGATATTATTGCTAAAACATTCATTTTACGTCAAGTTTAGACGTACGTAGAACGATATTAAAGGTTAGATTCAACTTGCGTTAACGACTAACGACTATTCTTTAACCCTAACCTTAACCCAAACCCCTAACCTCTAACCCCTAACCATAACCCTAATCTAACTTTTTAATTTTTTTTGAAAGTCTAACTTTTTAAACTTTTTTTCTTTTTAAAATTTTTTGAATAATGTTTTTCCTTTTTTCTAGATCTGACCCAGTTTTTTACCAAGGGCATATAAATAGTCCTATTATATAAAGTGATAATCTCACAATCATGTGAAAATTATCGCTTTTCAAAGACTGTCCTTTATATAATAAATAAAAAATACATGGGCGCTTGGAAATACCAGGGTTAGGGTTAAGGGTTAGATGCCGCGAATTTATCATTATGATAAATTAAAAATGTGCCGCGAATTTATCATAATGATAAATTCGGACATATTTAAGAATTTACTCTACTTTATGAAAAGAAATACTCCACACAAAACCAACCTTGTCCCAAACGTTCACATTATGAAGGAAACCCACAAAGTTTTTATACCCAAAGTCAGACCCACCGACGATAAATCGACTTTGAGCAGCTATTGTACCATTAGTTTCAATTCCAGTCAGACTCGATTGTAATATGCCGTCAATGATTAATTCAAACACCCCTGCATTATTTGTCCATGTCAATACCACGAAATGCAAGTAACCGTCAAATATTGGGATCAGGTCCACATGGAAACTAAAAACAAGATTATAAATATACACATGCTTGGTTACAGCAGTTTTACGTGACACGCGACCATCTCACGCAACACGGTTGAGAGCAATATTTGTTTTTGACATTTTGGCGCGATCACTAATTCAATAATTCTCAGAAACCTCACATTGCGGCTATTTATGGAATAATCAGTCGTTAAAATATATATTTCTTGGATTCGTCAAGTTATTGCTAAACCTAAGTTATTGCTAAAGCTATGATTGATGGGTGTCATTGGTGAACTTCCTCTGATCTCAAAAGTATGGCGAATTTCAAGAGTGAAATGCCTATGATTTGTGGGGGAAAAGGAGAAAATACTACTCATAAAACCCTAAGAATCGTTAACGAGACGAGCAGTCAAACAGTTTATTGTTGTTGCTTCATAACCAAAGATCAGGGACAAAAGATTACACAAAATAGTAAACCAAAGGCATTTTATTTCACTGCTCACCAGAGGTGGATTTACAGGGGGGTGAACAGGGGTGCGCACCCCTGTTGGCCTTGGTCAACAGGGATGCAAGGGGGGGGGGGTGTAAAAAATCAAATGCAGAAAGATGGCACAATTTCCAAGGTGTTTCCTTTTTTGAAGTCATACTGAAGCTCATACTTCAACGCCCATATGGCATATCGCAGGAAATGGCATTTCTAGGGTTCTAATTTTCAAAATGTTCCGGGGGGCATACCCGTGGACCCCCCTAGGGAGCTTGCGCCTTCGGCGCTCAAGTTGTTAGGAAGCCAATTCATTTGAATGCCCTCCCACCACCCCCTAAAGAATTATAAAGAAACACTCGGCTGCTCACCCAAAACCCCCCTACAAAAACCTTGCTGGATCCACCCCTGCTGCTCACAAATTTATGGATAAAAGGCAGATTAGTTTTACGAAAATTTTAAATTAAGCTGCGCATAATAACGTTACATATATATTTGAGAATTTTTTAATTAAAAGTAACCTTTTTTTAATTTTGAAAATATTTAAAATATAGTTGATTTGGAAAATATAGTTGTTTTGTTAACACAGCGGGGTGTTTCAGCATGCATGTATTGTTTCTAATTAGATCTGATAAATGTATAGAAAACTACACACGAAATTCCCAGCTACAAATCCCTTGAACAATTAGTTCTATCGAGTGAGATGCTATTTCAAAAAAGAGTGTATCCAGAGTGTAATATTCCCACTCGGTTGGATAAGTAAGGACGACCGTAGAATTATCTCACAGGGAACGAACCCAGGGTTGTTTTTTTGTTGGGGAAGTTTAAAATATCCTAATGATACAATTTAAGAATCGGGATTTTGGGCATCTAACTCGATAGATCGATGGATGTAATTTGTAGAATGGTTTTGTTGATGGCAATTTTCAATTGTAAATTTTATACATTTAATAGACCTAACCAGAATCATTTGCGAAAAATGCAACTATATAGCCCTCTGGCAGGAATCGAACATGCAGCCCTTCTATTCCGATACAGGAACGCAACTTGTCACTTTGAAAAAATGGGGCGGGCGCTCCAGTGCTTCCGCCAGTTCCACGGCAGCTTGGAATTAAAGTTATTATTCAGAGTCCAGTTTACTCACCGTCTTGATTCTATGATTATTTCCAATGTCATATTAAGAGTAATCACAAGAGAAAGACGACAGTTATCCCCTCGGTCGCCGTAGCATGCAATTTGAATAGGATTTTCGAGAGATGCACTTCTTATTTGGAAAATCATCGTGAACGCAGTAAGGTTTCGCGCAGGCGAGACAGCTTGTTCCAACCATTGAGATTTCGGATTGTCTAAGAATGTGTAGCCATGTATTCCCGTAATAGGAACTAAAAGTCAATAAGTGAAATCCAATAAATTGTTTGGCAGGACAAGGGGAAATCTATAATCATGGCGAGTTTATTGTAGATCTACAAATCCTTTATGTCCGTGAGTTTATCTGATCTGGTGCCAATTAACACGCTTGTTGACATATACTCGTCTATCATTGCAGTTCTGTCTGGGACAGTTGTGGTAAACGTTTACAGTTTAAACTACAAAAATTACAAGATCGCGCTGCTCGAATAATTACTAGGAGCAACTATGTAATACGCTCTTCGTATATTTTAGAATACCTAAATTGGGCGATCATTGGAAGATAGGCGAATGAAATAAAAATCATGCTTGATGTATAAAATATTAGGTATCTTATCTTTCGAGGTCGTTTAATCGAGCTAATTAGCAATCACATACTTCATAGTCATAATTATACAAGAGTTTATGGCTACAATTTTGTAGAGTATAATGAGCAGTGGTGTGGGATTTCAACACCAATAGAAATAAGAAAATCATACTCACCAAACAATTTCAAAAATAAATTGTAAATAGTAATTTGTTATACCGGGTGTCCCAAAAAAAAGTACTCCGGTTTGATTCGTAATAACTTCTAAACAAGTAAACCTTTTAAAGAGAAATAACTTGCATCAAATAGAGGAAGGACTAACTTAGATTTTGATATATTACAGTTGTATTTCACTTAAAAATTCACGGAGATATTAATGTTTAAAATCGGGAGCATATTTCTGGATGTGTCTGAAATATGCAAAAAACGGCGTATCAAATATTAATAAAGATTTGCTCGACTGAAACATGCACTATTACTAGTAAATAAATGACACTTGACAAATTGTTTATTATGAAGCAAAGTATTATTATCTACAAAATACAAACAAGATTTATTCGTCCGAAATCTGCATGTGTTCCTAGCACGAATACGTTTCCTTATTTCATGAGACCACTGCATCGCGAAGGATCGTCATGGATCGTTCGTAGTTGTGAATTAGGGCATGCTGTCACAATGGAATTGTGAAGCTCTGCTAACTTCTGCAATGTTCTGAAATCTTGTTAAGAACACAACACTCAAACTCATTTGCCTTTTCTTAATCTTTTTAAGTTCAGATTAAACTGAGAATGAAACACAATCAAACCATATAACTCCATAAGACATAACAATTAAGCATGCAACTCCCTAGAGACATCCAACATTTTTGGAACAAAACGTAACAAAATAGTAGCGTTGATACTGTGATGTGTATTTGCAAAAAGCAATATTATTTCCTTCATTGCAGAATAATATTCATCCTGCTCTAACCGAGAAATAATCAACTCTGTTTTGAACCCATGAAAAACATAAAAGAATTAGGCTAAGAAAAATTTAAGCGCCTGCCTTGCATGGTCTTTCATGTACCTTATAAATGTGTAAAGTTTGTAAAGACCTATTAAATACTTGCATAATTTCGTACTTTCATATTTCAGGAAACAATGAGCTAAGACTTACATGTAAGAAGTCTAAATCTACGCCATATCCCTTACAAACCCTAACGACAATTCGCTGAAATACAAGTTAGCCTGATATTGTCATCAAGCAAACAAACGCTGAAGTTAATATTTGATATGCCGATTTTCGCTAATTTTAGACACATCCCAAAATATGCTCCCGATTTTGAACATTAATATCTCCGTGAATTTTTAAGTAAAATACAACTGTAATATATCAAAATCTAAGTTAGTCCTTCCTCTATTTAATGCAAGTTATTTCTGTTTGATAGCTTTACTTGTTTAGAAGTTATTATAAATCAAACCGGAGTACTTTTTTTTGGGACACCCGGTATATGTAAATTTTATGGTAAATAATCTAAAATACACACGGTTGCCTGGGAAGAGCATCTTCTAATGACAGGATTCCCTGTCTAAATAAAGTTCAACAACGACAACGACAACCTTAGCAATCCCCCAGCTGCGGCGTGAAGCGCCGTATTTACAGCTGGGGGAAATGGAAAGCATTAGCGATCGGAAGTCTATGGGTGACAGTGAAATGAATGCTATCGTTAACTGGAACGTTATTGGAAATTCGTCATTGGTCGCGGCAATACTGGATATTTTGGCCATATTAAAGCAACAGAAACCCCACGTTTTGAATACTAAATGTATTACTCAGCGCCTGTATTAATAGCAATCAA